CATTTAAAAATGGATCAAAAAACGTAGGAAATACGCTACGATGTTAAAAAAAAAAAAAAAAATTCTGTAAAAATTTGAAAATAAATAAAAACTTTTACTACTGCGGAGAAAGTTTTAGGGGGATGTTATTGCCATAGTACCTATTCTTTGGTAATGGACTCTTCCATAGATAATAAGTAGCAGTGGCAAGTCTGGCAGAACGGTGTTGAGAACGTCAGTCGAGATTCGGACATTTGAAGTACCAACCATCACAACTAGATTTGCTGCGTCATTGACTATTGTTTTCCAAGTTCCTAACGTTTTGTACGACTTATTAGAAATACAAGCCTCCACTGTGAAAATACTCCACAACAAATACACAGTGTCGTGCGAGGTGGTGTCGTTGGATTTTACACCGCGATCAAGGTATCTTTGAGCTTCAGAGGCTATGCCAATGGCTGAATAGTGGTTGTCCATTGTCTTGACAAGATGTGGGTAAAGATTTGAGTTCCAAATTTTCACCTTTTCGCTCATTAGCATAGCGCCGATGATGGAAATAAGTCCATCGACTGTTAAGTCTGTATTTTTGTCTTTTTTGTATTTGTTTTTTATGTGGACGGCTGCCTCTCTAAGGGTGTTTTCGAGTCGACCCGCGAAGCCTGTTAATTTTTCGCCGTCTCGCCGTTCCAGATCCCAGGCTTGACTGAGGTGTTGGAAGTTAGTCATCTGGCTTCCGTGGGCTGCTAATTGAAAATTCCTTCAGTTGTTCGAAGGTGGATATGTCTTTTTTAAGTCAACCATCTGCTGAAAGATACTTTGGTCCAGTAAATCAAATCTTTAGCAGACTTGACGAATTCGCATTCCAGGCTGGGATAGGTGCTGAGCTGGCGTGACGTGGATTGTGTATGCTTTGTTTAGGGCCGTGATGAATCGGTTCACGTCGTGTCCAGGGTGAAAACTACTCTCTAGCTTCAATATGTCGCGTATGGTTTGTTGGCGCATCATTAAGCTGTAATCGCCGTTTGTTTGAGCGGTGGGAGGTGTTGAAGCAGTTGATTTTAGGGCAGTCAGCATGTCGTTTATGTCGGCTTGAATTTCTTGTGTCGTGGCTTCGGAAGGCTGTGTTGGTCCCGTTTTCAAGTTGAATAGTATTGTTTTCTGTTCCTTCGGGTGAAGCTCGTGTAGCCTGCCATATTTCTCTTGCTGCACGCTTCTGACACCAGTGTTATAGACAAGCGTATGGTTGCAAGAAAGAAATACAACAGCAGAAATAAATTTACGTGATTTATTTCAATAGGAACGTGTGGTTTTGGGACAGCTACCTTGTGGTATAGTTCATAAGCCGGCAGCCGACCTGGGTTGATCTCTCATAGTAGTTCTCGCTGGTTGGCGTGGCGCTACTGCTGCTGGCTGCTCAAACCGACCGTGACAGATCTCTTCCCTGGCCTCCTGTTGACTGCTGTTGTACTTCCTCGTGTGACTCCTTTTATGGCATTTTTTTATGGCTTAACAGGCTCGTAAAACGACGCGAGTATAATTAGGAGGGAAGCATTTTTACTGATCGAAAAATAGAAACACTTTAAAATATTATTTTATTTTTCAACCGGAACTCGTGCGTCGGGGCTATGTGTAAACGACGATAATGGTCATTTTGTGACGGGGCCTTCTAACCGTTCATCTCCGGCTCTCGCTCTTGAGTATGTTAGTTTATTTGCCTGCAAATCAGCCGAGATATGTCTTATTTTATTTCATAACACCACCAATATTTTCATGATTAAATTTTACTCGAAAAAATGTTTAAGTTGCAAATTTTTACATTTTCATAAAGTAAACGTTAACGCATCATTAAACATTTTTATTTTTAAGCGATCTTTTTCTCGGTTTTATCATTCTAAAAATGTAAAAATGCGGGCTAGAAATTTTATTTGGATTACTAGCGATGGACTTCTGTTTTTAGTGTTATTAAAAGAAAATCAGAAATAATCCTTACCTTAGTGGATGATCTTAAACTGATTTTAACAAAATATATTACTCTCTTCTTAACTGATTTAAAAGAACTGTTCAGAAAGAAAATTACAATTTAAAAAAAAAAAGTGCTACTGAAATTAGCACTTCTGTCCCCTCCTCTCCCTAGTAGGCATGGATTGAGAGGTCCGGGGTGGTAAGGACCGGCCCTGTCGATAATTATAGTTGATGACTGACAATATAAATTAGGTAGAAAAAAGTAAAAAGTACAAAAATCCAAAAACGTTGCTGAAGTTTTTTGGAACTCAAAGCTCGTCGGGGGTGGTGGTTTCCTGCGTAGTACGCACCGGTCATGCAGATACACAATGTATATATTTAGTTGATGACTGAGTCTAACGTCAGTTTAAAAATAATTTGACGATATGGCGGATAGCCATAAAATGGTGCTGAAAAAATGGGACCACAAAAACGCCCTCCCCCCGCCTCGCAACCTCGGTCGTAGGTAAGACTCACCGGCCCCTGCCCCTATTGACCTTACTACGATTCAAACACATAATGCGAGCCTAATAAATTATTTTTTCTCAAGGATGCAGTATTTGAGGTAAATAGAAATTTATTTTGAGATAATAGATAAATAAATAATAAGAAGGAAAGAAAGAAATTTATTTTTTCCGAAATGCGCAACGTCTCCGCCATATTCTAAGACAACTTTCCCTGTTATATATTGTTTTCCATTCATAATTTTTTCTCAGAATATTTTTTCCAAAATAATATTCTATATCATTTTTCGGAAATTTTATTTTCTGAAAGAAAATAAAACCTGCTGCAATAGTATTTTCACTCCAGCCCGCAGTAATAACGAAAAAGAAACAAAAATGCAAAAATCCAATTCAATTATACAAAGAAAAAATATTTATTTCTAACCAGCTAAACAAGGGTGCTTGCAAAAATTCGTCCCTTTTTGCTGAGAATAGGATAACCTATTCTCTGACTAACACAATGTGAAACATGTACCAGAAAAAAAAAACTTTAAAAATTACAATGCACAAAAAACAAAAAAAAACAAAAGGATTGAGTCCATCTGCTGAGTCGATGATAACAAAAATAAATGGGCGGGAGAGTGCTTTTGGCTCTACAGTACACTTTCTGTCCTTTCAAAGTTCGAAGATTCTTTTCTTTTCCTTTTCCTTCTTATGGAGACAATGTAAAACATATACCAGAAGAATACTTTGTTACCCATGCATCCTTTACTTATGGCAAACGCTGCCTGTCTTTTCAGCAGGGAGAGAGAAAGGAACCTCCTGTTCCTAAGCGGTATCGTTTCCAACTGCTAGCTAAGGTCCAGTAACAGGTCCTTCAAACGGGGCGGTTCACCTTCGAAACTGTCCATTAAAAAATAAGATATCAGCAGGTTCTTAGGGCCAGTAACACAGTGAGTGTCTTTTGTTCTCCCTTCATCTAAAAATTTTCAAACTTTAAGTGGCGAATAAAAAATATTTTTACGTGTTACAACCTTTTGATACCTGCATGTGCATGTGCATTTATTTTTACAAAACAGACTCATAAAATTGCTATAAAAATAAAAAAAAACTTACACACAAAAAATGTCGAAACCCAAATTAGCAGCTGCCTTTGAGAACATACCTGTCTTTTCTACAAACGACCCAAAAATGTTTTTCATCCGCCTAGAAGCCATTTTTCTGATGAAAAATATTTTATCCCAAAAATTTTACTTGTGTAGTTTCTGTATTACCTCAAGAAACTGTTAAATCCGCCACAAACCAACCCGTACGACAAATTAAAAGAGGGGTTAATATCCGAACTTGACTATCTGAGAGGAGGATGTTGCAACAATTATTGGAAACTGAAAAATTGGGAGATCGAAAACCATGTCAACTTCCACAACATTTACAGACTCTATCCGGGAATATGTTAGATGATAGTGCCTTACAACACATATTTACAGGGAAAGTGCCACAAATGATGCAAGTATCTTTAACAGCAATGGAAGACAATGTACCCATGAACAAACTGTGTGATACAGCTGATAAATTGATGAAAGTCATGACCCAAGACAACCTAGTCGCAAGTGCACTCAGAATTATGACATCACCTAAATATGTGAAGGAAAATAAATAGTTTAGAAGACAAATAAGTGATTTAACTGAATGAAATTAAACAGTTGCAAAGATACCAGCATCGCAATTCATCAAAAAGCAGGGAACGATACAGGAAGAATTCAAAACGATGGAGTAATATCTGTTACTGCTACAAGAGATTCGGTGAAAGGAGTAAAAAATGCATAACTCCTTGCAATTATAAGTCCCAGGGAAAGGAATAAGGCAAAAGTTTTCGTCGACAGGACACGTTGTCATTTCAAACTCAAGTCGACTCTTCCACATAATTGACTGAAATTCAAAAACAATATTCTTGATCGATAACCGAGAAGTGTTTAAGTAATTGGACAAAAATGTGGGAGCCAGATTCCTTGAAGTTACTCGAAGAGAGATGCTGAAGTCATTAAAGCCAGTAGAGAGAATTAGTTTGGATCAATTGAAAAACAGACTAGATAATTTAGGAGCACAGTTTGGAAAGAAAATAGGAAAGTCATAATAAACTGGTCAGTATTAGTGGGTAGCCTAGTAGTTACTGCTGTTATAGTAACAGCGGTATGGAAGCTGAAAATGCATAGAAAGAAATCGATTAATAGTGTTTTGGCGAATATGCAACAACTCGAGCAGGGAATGGCGTGCAGTGTCCTTTAACCAAACAGATTGAACCAAGACGTGGAGACTAGGTTTAATCAGACAGAATTGGAACCAGAGTCGGCACCTGTTAAAGAGAAATCAAAACCTCCTAAAGTATAATAATTGGCAAGGGGTGGTGTGAAAACCTCATAATTAAACATTGCATGATATAAAAAGAAAAGAGTAAAGACTTTTGTACTGCATGAAATAGAAGAGAAACGATTCATGATAAATAGCGTTTTAAGTGTTTTGGGGGATTTGTGTGTCATTTATAAGTCAATGACAGGAAGGATAAGGGAGAGATGTGACACTTTAAGGGTTGAAAGGATAGTTCGATGGCTATACTGAGAGAGATGTGACACTTTAAGGGTTGAAAGGATAGTTCGATGGCTATACTGAGAGAGGTGTGACACTTTAAGGCTTGAAAGGATTGTTCGATGGCTATACTGAGAGAGGTGTGACATTTTAGGTTTGAAAGGATAGTTCGATGGCTATACTGAGAGAGGTGTGACACTTTTAGGTTTGAAAGGATAGTTCGATGGCTATACTGAGAGAGATGTGACACTTTATGGGTTGAAGGATGGTTCGATGATAAGAGAGGTGTGACATTTTAAGGGTTGAAGGATAGTTCGATACTATAGAGAGGTGTGTGACACTTTTATGGGTTGAAAGGATGGTTCGATGGCTATACTGAGAGAGGTGTGACACTTTAAGGGTTGAAGGGATAGTTCGATGGCTATACTGAGAGGTGTGACACTTTAAGGGTGTGAAGGATTTTGGCTATACTGGAGGGTTGAAACTTTTAGTGTTGAAAAGATAGTTCGATGGCTATACAGATAGAGGTGTGACACTTTTAGGGGTTGAAAGGATAGTTCGATGGCTATACTGAGACACTTAAGGGTTGAAGGGTTGTGTTGACACTATACTAAGAGGGTTGAAAGGATAGTAGTTTGATGGCTATACTGAGAGAGGTGTGACACTTTTAGGTTGAAAAGGGATAGTTCGATGGCTATACAGATAGAGGTGTGACACTTTTAGGTTTGAAAGAATAGTTCGATGGCTATACTGAGAGAGGTGTGACACTTTTAGGGTTGAAAGGCTTGTTCGATGTCTATACTGAGAGAGGTGTGACACTTTTAGGGTTGAAAGGATAGTTTGATGGCTATACTGAGAGAGGTGTGACACTTTAAGGGTTGAAGGGATAGTTCGATGGCTATACTGAGAGAGGTGTGACACTTTTAGGGTTGAAAGGATAGTTCGATGGCTATACTGATAGAGGTGTGACACTTTTAGGGTTGAAAGGATTGTTCGATGGCTATACTGAGAGAGGTGTGACAATTTTAGTGTTGAAAGGATAGTTCGATGGCTATACTGAGAGAGATGTGACACTTTAACTGTTGAAAGGATAGTTCGATGGCTATACTGAGAGGGGTGTGACACTTTAAGGGTTGAAAGGATAGTTCGATGGCTATACTGAGAGAGATGTGACACTTTAAGGGTTGAAAGGATAGTTCGATGGCTATACTGAGAGAGGTGTGACACTTTAAGGCTTGAAAGGATTGTTCGATGGCTATACTGAGAGAGGTGTGACACATTTAGTGTTGAAAGGATAGTTCGATGGCTATACTGAGAGATGTGTGACACTTTAAGGGTTGAAAGGATTGTTCGATGGCTATACTGAGAGAGGTGTGACACTTTTAGGTTTGAAAGGATAGTTCGATGGCTATACTGAGAGAGGTGTGACACTTTATGGGTTGAAAGGATAGTTCGATGGCTATACTGAGAGAGGTGTGACACTTTAAGGGTTGATGGGATAGTTCGATGGCTATACTGAGAGAGTTGTGACACTTTTAGGGTTGAAAGGATAGTTCGATGGCTATACTGAGAGAGGTGTGTCACTTTAAGGGTTGAAAGGATAGTTCGATGGCTATACTGAGAGAGGTGTGACACTTTTAGGGTTGAAAGGATAGTTCGATGGCTATACTGAGAGAGGTGTGACACTTTAAGGGTTGAAAGGATTGTTCTATGGCTATACTGAGAGAGGTGTGACACTTTTAGTGTTGAAAGGATAGTTCGATGGCTATACTGAGAGAGGTGTGACACTTTATGCGTTGAAATGATAGTTCGATGGCTATACTGAGAGAGGTGTGACACTTTAAGGGTTGAAGGGATAGTTCGATGGCTATACTGAGAGAGGTGTGACACTTTTAGGGTTGAAAGGATCTTTCGATGGCTATACTGAGAGAGGTGTGACACTTTAAGGGTTGAAAGTATTGTTCGATGGCTATACTGAGAGAGGTGTGACACTTTTAGGGTTGAAAGGATAGTTCGATGGCTATACTGAGAGAGGTGTGACACTTTATGCGTTGAAATGATAATTCGATGGCTATACTGAGAGAGGTGTGACACTTTAAGGGTTGAAGGGATAGTTCGATGGCTATACTGAGAGAGGTGTGACACTTTAAGTGTTGAAAGGATAGTTCGATGGCTATACTGAGAGAGGTGTGACACTTTAAGGGTTGAAAGGATAGTTCGATGGCTATACTGAGAGAGGTGTGACACTTTAAGGGTTGAAAAGATAGTTCGATGGCTATACTGAGAGAGGTGTGACACTAAGTGTTGAAAGGATAGTTCGATGGCTATACTGAGAGAGGTGTGACACTTTTAGGGTTGAAAGGATAGTTCGATGGCTATACTGAGAGAGGTGTGACCCTTTAAGGGTTGAGAGGATAGTTCGATGGCTATACTGAGAGAGGTGTGACACTTTTAGGGTTGAAAGGATAGTTCGATGGCTATACTGAGAGAGGTGTGACACTTTAAGTGTTGAAAGGATAGTTCGACGGCTATACTGAGCTTCTGGGTCGAGATAAAAATTAAGGTGTTCTGAAAACAACGGCATAGTTAAAGAATTGTTTTTTTCTTTATCACCTGTGAAAAGAAGAGGGGAGAGGCAGTGTAAAAGCCGAACTGGAGATACTATTGTCTTAAAATGGAGGTTATGAAAATATTTGTTGGCCATAACCCGGTAAGGAGAGTCGATCGAAAGGTGATATTTAGGGTTTTTAGGGAGGAAGAGGCAAAGTTGGTGAATTGTTTTTTTTTATCACTTATCAAAAAGTGAAGGGAAGGTGTGAATTGCTGAAGCGGTGAAATTCCGAGTTGTGTCACAAGAAGAGGGTATTAGGGGAACAGCTAGTGAGATTGGGAATGCGGAAGGAATCGAGGAATTCCTTTGATGAAAATTTTGGACGTGAATTAAAATTAATAATTCGAGCTAAGACCCGCCTGCTTGCAGTTTAGAGATCGGATTGGGTTATCTTATTTGCCTTGATTTAGGTTTTTGGAGAGATTTTTGTTGAGAATTTTGATCGTTTGAATGTTTTGATACTCGACGTCTTTTTCTTTTAGGCTTTCGAATCTGTTTTGGGACAATTTTTGCTTTAGCTCACTGTTTGTTCATTTTTCAGTTTGGCCATGTTTGCTCCAAGGTGAAAATTAGTTGGAGTAAAGAAATAAATTAGACACTGATTTTGGAGAAATGACCAAAGATTTTTCATCTACAAGATATGAAAATGTCCCAGGTAAGTCGTATAGTGTAGCATTCAAATGTACATTGTACGAGGTGTGAAGTGAGAGCCTGAAAAAGGAGTATGCTTAAACTGGTTGACTGCTTGTTAGCTATCGGTTTGGGCTTGTCGCGTCGATAGTAGAGTCCGTTCTCTTTCTGTGTTCACAGGAGGTCGTTTTCACAGCCTAATGTTCGGACGGGCAATCGGGCGTGTTCTCGGGTATGGTTAGCGTGCTTGTGTGAAGTATTTTTTTTCTCTCTTTCTTTTTGTCCAGCATCTATTATAACCTATATAAGAGAAACGTCCGGAGATAGTCGTAGACAAGTGTGACAAGCGAGAGTCGCGTCGATAATGGCCAGCACTCTGATATATTTGTGTTTGTTTTAAAATTTGTTTTGAGTAGAGTACGGCGTGTGTGTGACAACTAAATTGGTGTATGTTTTTTAATAATTGTAATAATTAATAATTTGGCTTTAATTTGTTATCTGTAACTGTGAGTAAATTGTGTTTTTCTGCTACATGTTTACTAGTTTTTTTTATGGAATCTTTTTTATTTTATCTGTATTTATCTGTATTCAAGACAACTTATCTTATTTATCTGTATTCAAGACAACTATTTTTCATGTTGGCTCATTAGGCACGGTTTCTAACTTTGTGTTGTGTACTGTTTATTTTTATTGTTTGATTTGGATGATTTGGTTTATCTTGGGAAGGAGTACAAGGTGTGTTGTGTTTCCCTCTCTTGGTTCTTTATTTGGTTTCATTATTTTAGGTTTTAGCTCTTCTAGTTATGGTTTTATTTTAATTTTATTTTTTAACTGCAACAAATCTTCCGGCTTGCGGTTAGGTGCCTGAAAATGAATCGATCTTCCGGGGTCCTTTGGTTGGACGGACGGTCCTGTCCGCATTCTCGGAGTGTGGTTTGAGCCCGACCTCCAACTGGAGAAAAATTAGTCAAAAATAATGACAAAGAACGGCGCGGCGGTGGAGACTTGGCGCCAAAGAAGGTTGTCCGTGAAAAGTAGGGCTGAGGCGTGTGCCACTTAACGTCTTTCTTCTTATCCTCTATCGCTTGTAAGGAACGTAACTCGGTGGTCAAGCGCTTGCTCTCCTCCCTCTTGTCGGGGTGGGGACGCAAGCATCACATCGACAGAGAAGTCTGTACCCAACGTCCGTGTCATTGGGGGATGGGAATGCCGCACTTAGCGAGTCACAAACAAGCCTCGACGCTGGCTTTTCTACGCCGCACAATGGCAGGGGACTCGGTTTTGGGGGATAGTATGAGGGCCGCCTTTCCGTACCTTCCTATCACTCCGCCCGTCTCGCGGGCTGAGCGTCTTCGTAAGCCCCGGGATCGAGTTTCCTCCTCGAGTGTCGATAGGCCATGAGGGTCATTCCTCGGTTCAGTGACCTTTCTCAGCCGAGTCTTCTATCGTGAATTAGTGGAGGGGTCACGAAGGATCCACAACACGGCCGGCTCGGCTTGTCGGCAAACGAGTTGCAATTGTTTTCCTCTTGGGTGCCAGCGGAGGATTACCTCAGCAACTCTGAGTTTTCGTTTACCTGGCGATTTGTTCAGAATAGGCTATCTCTCAATGACATTGCCGGATTTTCCAGACTGAAATCGGTGTGATCTTGGTTTAGAGGAAACGGCTTCGCGCGCCTTATACCATTGTCCTTGGGTGCACCTCCTATGGGAATATGCCAGCGAGTATACGGTTCGTACCGCTCCCGAAAAGCGATGTGAACGTTATTCTCATCAGGATCTAATCCGACTCTTTAAACATCAGTTCAGAATGAAGATAAGAACTGATAGAAAGCGTTTGTTATCGACAGATTTCAGCGAAAGGTGGGTAACTATGGCGAGTTTGGTTTGCGTGAACGGGGATAGCTTTGATTTTCTTTTTTAAGTCCCCCTAAATCACAACGGGGCGGTTTCCTGTCGAGCTCTCCCCTGGTTTCTTGTGTACCTAGTTAATGTGAATGTGTCGTTCCTGGCCTGTCCCTGGCTTCTTCTTTGGTTATGATCCAGGACGAGATTCCCAACCTCCCCAGTTTGTTTTTGCCCCCTTTTCATCTCGATTTGGTCAGTTTTCCCATGACTGTATTTATTTTATCCTTCCCTATCCCTTAAAGAGTGAGTATCTTGATTTTTTCTGAAAACAGAAGGGAGCGGCTTCTCCTATTTCTTTGAGGGTTGAACGGGTCCATCTAATATCAGGTATTTTAGTTTGTGTATTTTGTTTATATTTTAGTTTGTTTTCGGGTTCATCCCCTCCGCCCTAATTGTGTGGAATCTTCCACTACAAGCCAGTTAACCCCTGCTAGGAAATGCACTATTCCTGTTGTGATTTTCACCATCACAATCTTACAAAATATATAACAAGCATCCATTGGTTAATCACCTTCAATCTAGCTTGCTGATTGGTCAGTTCCGACCAATCAAACTGCCTGCACGCGACAAATCTGTTTTCCCGCGTTTTCCATCTGAGCAGTCAAGTGATTCACGATCATATATAAACAAAAACACGAGTGATTCTCTCTCTCTCTCTCTCTCTCTCTCTCTCTCTCTTGCTACCAAGTGCCAAGATGTAATCTTCAAGAACTCTCGTCCTAACTAATGCAGTCAGACGTTAAAGACCATTACCAACATTCACGCAAGTACGAACTCTGAAATCTCTTCTGAACTTTTACCAACTTGTACAATGCACAATTCCAAACATGCTAAAGAAACTTTATTCTTCTAAACTACAGTTTGATAATCAACTTCTACTTTATGAGCTTAGGTACAAATATTACCTAGTCTAAGAGACACAACTCTGTCTAACCTTTTCACTCAGTATTCATGCATGTATATCAAATACTTTATAAATTCAATTGTTACATTTTGAAACAATACGTTATGTTTTTGAATAATTATTCTATGTCTTGTATTAATTGTTATGGATGGAATATTATTGAACACACACAATTTTAAGCCTTCTGATAATTCAAACCTTCCATTCCTCTCCAACACACATCACACATTCGCAACAATTGCTTACCATCAAGAAATTTTTATATATAATTTTATACTCAAGAATGTTTATGTCATGGGATGTTTTGTAGGTTCCTGCGTATGTATGTGTGTGTGTGTGTGTGTGGGTGGTATTGTAGTATATGTAGTATTGAATGATGACGGAAGAGTTTTTGTGATGAATGTGTAAATTAAATTATAATGAATGAATGGCTTGTGGATCTGATTAGCTAAGTATTAGATAGAGTCGACTAGCCTCAACTCATTCCACCTTTTTGGCCTTGTGTCACAATTGTTATATTTTATACAGAATTTAAATATCGAACGATTTTCGATGTTCAATCGAAATGCGTGATTTTTAGTGTCCAACATAAGTTCGCTTGAAGAGAATTTTGTATTTGTTTACTTACGAACTGTTACGTTTTATCGTTTTATTATCTGACACGTTTTTGAACCTATTCGTATTTTATTTTCAGTTTCTCTTTCTTTGTGTTTTAGTTGTACTTGTTTTTGTGTAAACCAAGCATTATTTTCTCTTTTGGTATGTTTTATTTTTGTGTTTTACTTCCCTCCGATTTTAATTCGTTTCTAGTTTAATTCGTTTTTTTTTTGTTTTTTTTTTACGTGTTTAATTGTTGTTCGTCAACATTTCGTTTTTAGTTTTTTAAACCTTTTTTTGTTACCCTTTTCGTCAGCATTAATTCATTTTTTTTTATATTTTCTTTTCTGTTTTCTTGTAAGCTAAGTTTGATTTTCCTTTGTCGGCGACTTTAAGTCGTCCTTTTTTCACGAGACCTTGCTTGGGGCTAAGGTAGCGACTTGACCCTATATTTCCTTGAGGGGATGAAAGCGTCGATTCCAGCTTTAACCCAGGATGAGACCTCAGAAGCACATTCTTGGACGGGGAGCGTAAAGACAACATCCCAAGGGGCATCGCGGAGGAAATCACGGAACGCGTCCCAGTCAGCTCGTTGATAGTAGAACGAAGTTCTAGTGGTAGGAGGTTCTTTGCAGGGGGTGGAGTTGAAGGAGATGTTAACAGATACTACCGCATGATCAGAGTTACCAAGAGAGTGGAGTTGCGTGGCGCTACAGGACTCGGGGATGGATGTAAAACACAGATCGAGAAGAGAGGCTTTACCTTCCGGGTTGAAGGCAAAACGAGTGGGGAAGTTAACTGCGTGGGGGGTTGAGAGACTGAAAAATGCGTGGTCAATAGTCGCATTCTTAAGCCACATGGTATGATGGGCGTTAAAGTCGCCAAACACAAATATGTGAGCAAACAGGTGGAGGGAGAGAGCCTTGTCTATGCTGTCAGAAATGCTATCGAGTATCCCACAGTCTTGAGAGGATGGAGAGCGGTAAAGGAAGAAGAGATAGCTTACCGCATTAGAAGAGATAGTCGGAGACACATGTACGACTGGTCTGGCGATT